CTCCTTGTCATCCTGACCACCACCACCACCTTTGCTCCAACTGTCGTCACTTCTCAGTTGGGTTAGAGAGGTTTCCTTCCACTCTGGGTTTGTGTGCTCTTCCTCTCCCTGTATTCCAATACACCACTCGCCCTGACATCGACCATGTGACTTCTCTGTTTGAAACCCCCTAATAGATTCCCACGGCCTTTGGGCCTCTTTCTTGGGGCACAAAAGCTTCAGGGTGGGAAGCAGAATTAGTTCTATAGTCTCGGCTTTCTGCATTTTCCTCTCCAGCCAAACTGTCCTGTACACAGGTACATAAGTGTGTTCTCTGCAGCTTTCCTCCCACTGCAGGTAAGAGTCCTTCCAGGAACATGTCTTTCTTTCTCTCTTCCTACCTAGTCGCTGTATTTCCTAATTCTCTGGGATCCCTCCCGCCCTCCAGGAATCTGCCTCATGCATCCCCTATTAGGTAACTCTCTTTCTTCTTTCATGGTGTCCCGCAGCTTGTCACACCACCACGTGACCTGTCACCTGCTTCTATCCCACTGACTGGGGCTCTCGATGGGAGAAAATGAACTGTCATCTCACCCTAGGGACCATCCCAAGGCCTGGCATCATGAGCATGTGCTGAGTATGCTGTTGCTTAAGGGTGGAATGAGAGAAAGATGAAGGAATAAAGAGCAGAAAAATGTAGTCATTTGAGAGCAGGTATAAAAAATATATATTTGTAACTACCCATTGATATTTTAAGGAGGTACAAGTAAGTAATTTTTTTTTCTTTCACTAGCAAGTAAAGAAAAAAAAATTAAACTCACCACTGGAAAGTTTTTGTAGAAACAGAATAAAGATTGCTGCAGATAAAAGTCTTTTTCTTTTTTTTTTTAGACAGAGTTTCGCTTTGTTGCCCAGTCTAGAGTGAGTGTGCCATGGTGTTGGCCTAGCTCACAGCAACCTCCAACTCCTGGGCTCAAGCAATCCTGCTGCCTCAGCCTCCCGAGTAGCTGGGACTACAGACATGTGCAACCATGCCCGGCTAATTTTTTCTATATATAATAGTGGCAATTAATTTTTTCTATTTATAGTAGAGATGGGGTCTCGCTCTTGCTCAGGCTGGTTTCTAACTCCTGACTTCGAGCAATCCGCCGGCCTCGGCCTCCCAGAGTGCTAGGATTACAGGCGTGAGCCACCGCGCCCGGCCCAGATAAAGTCTTAAAAATAGCAAATGCCTCATTAAAGAATGAAGTATATCTTGTATTTCTTATCTAATTAATTCATTTTAGTCATTATTTTACCAACTGAAATTAAAAGAAAAGTAGGCCCTAAGAAAGTCGCTTTGACATAGGTCAGGAGTTATTTAAATACGACTGATTTTCTGAAATCAGAATTATGACCTATTATGGAATGAAGAATCTATACAATATGAGCCCCAGACTGGTCCAGTTGTAAATTTTAGTCCAATTTTAGTTAGATAGTTTAAGTCCTCCAGGTTGGTTCTTTCTTTAAAAATTGCTTTTGTTATTCTAGGTCCCTTTCATTTCCATATATGCTCTAGAAAAGCTTTTAAATTTCTATAACAAAGCTTGCTAGCCTTATGGTTAGGATAGTTTGATTTCTCAGCAATATGTTTTAGTTTTCAGTACACATTATGCTAAATGTATTCCTAAATATTTGATGTTTAGAAGAGCATATTTTCATTTTTCAATTGTATTCACCAGTATATGGAAATACAATAAATTTCTGTGGGTTGGCTCTGTCCTGTGAACTTGCTACTTTTGCTTAGTAGTTATAATTTACATAGTGGTAGATTCCTTAACATTTTCTCTCTCTACTCATCTTTATCATCTGCAGATGTAATGCCTTATATTTATCTTTCTTGCCTAAGTGCAAAGGCTAAGACCTCTAGAGCAATGCTGAGTAGAAGTGTTAAGAGCAGGCGTGCCTGTCTTATTCCCAATCACAAGGATAGAGAGTATAATCGACTATAATATTTGTCATCGGTGCCTTTTATTATTATATATTGAGGCTGTTTCCTGCTACTGCTCGTTTGTCAGAAATTTTTTTAAATCAAGAATGGATGTTGAATTCTGGCAAATTCTTTTCATTTATTTTATTCATTTCTATGGATTTTCTACTTTATTTTGTTAATATTGTGAAGTCTATTGATTTATTTTTTTATTTTTTAGTTTTTTTAATTTTTAAGTAAATATATGCAGATTTTATTTATTTGATATCTGTATGGGTCTACATCTAGGAATGTCAATAACATACCAGAGTGTTTTATAAGCATCTGCAGACATTGAAATAGTAAATGGTACAACAGCTCTTTTGGAAAATAAAAGCTGTGTCATTTTATTGATCTTTTATGCCCTTTTATTGCTTGAGTTTTCACATCTAGACTATCCCCTTTTTCCTAGTAGACAATTTTTGTCATAAAACGAATGAGATTTCCATAACATTAAAATAAACTTTGATAGTCCTTTTGAATGTGTCCCTTATGATTGGTACCACCCTTTTGGGATTTCATCAGTGGGATGCCTAGGCGACCTATTTACATCACTATAAGCTTTAAATTCTAGAAGGTCATTCTATATCAAAATGGACATTTACCTAAAACATCTTTTTGAAGAAGTTCTGATGTATTTAGATCCTCAAATAATATTCTACTGTATTTCCTATATTTTCTTGTTATGAGGGAAAAAAAACCCTTTCCAACTTAATAGAAGGATAAACATCTCTTATTTTGCACTTACTTGGTTATCGAGGCTATTTTTCTTCTGTGTTTAAATTTCAAAATATTCAGGGGGCACAAATGTTTTAGGTCACATGGATCGCTTTTGTAATGCTTGAGTCCCGGCTACAGGGGTGCCCATCACCCAAATAGTGCTCAAAGTACCCAGTAAGTTTTTTTTTTTTTTGCCTACCCCTCCTCTTTGCTCCCTCCTGGTTGATTTTGACTGAGTTTTATTTACCTCTGTGTACATGTGTACTCATCGGTTAATTCCAATTTTGATTTTATAAATGATTGATGCCTGAGTCCCACCTCCAAAGATGGTTGTTTGATTGGTAGAGGCTACAGCCTGCACATCAGGACATTTTTTAAGTTCCACAAACAATTTGAATGTGCGACAGTCTGAGAATCACTAACCAGTGATTTTTTATTAAAAAGGAAAAAATAAGGAGGAATTCCTCAAGAATATGGAAGATGGATCTACTCCCAAAGATCATGCTTTATTTGGTCTGGGTTGGGACCAAAACTGCACATCAGCATTTTCTGAAATCTCCCAGGAGACTCTGCAGTGCAGCGCAGGTTGAGAACACCTTGCCTTGCCTACTGCTCAGTCCTGCTGATCTGTTCGTGAAGCACATCTCCTTGCTCAGGGCTATTCCGCCTATCTGGGGGCTTAATGCTAATTTCACAGAAGCTTATTTAATATATTTGAAGAACGATCGCACGGAGCCATTAATCATATTGCCATCAGCTACATTATCCTGAATATCTGGGCTCAATTTCAGTTCATTTGACCTTTGCCTTAGTCAAAATAGTCTGGTTGCCTTCTTTCCTGCAAGGGCAAGAGACACCAAGAGCAGCAGCCATGTGCACTTTTATCTCACGTTTCTGTTCCCTGACCTGGTTCCTTCAGAGCAGATTATATGGAAGACAGGCTGATGTACTATTTTGCCCTTCACAAACCACAGCAAAAGTCAATTCTGCTTACAAGAAAACACTTGGGAGACAGATACTAGATCACCTCCCATTTTTATGTATCTTCAAAAAAATCAGGAAAAAAAAAATAAAGCATCCCGATTCTTACACTCAAAAGTGCAAAGGTAGAAAGAGGAAAATGTCATGAGTATCTTTAGTTTGTGTCTAACCAAAGATGTATTTTCTTACTCATTCGCTTGGGGAATTTATATTTTTTTCAGAAATACAGCGCTTGTTTCTTCATATGACTGCTAAGTCAGTATCACGTTCTTTTGCGGGGAAGCAGATGGAAAGTGAATTCCTTTTCAGCCACACAGGAAGGTAGAGGTGACAAGGGAACGAGGACCAAGGACTGAGGAAGGACTGGAAACCCACCACTCGAGAAAGAGTCTGCACAGATCTGTTGATTATCCTGGAGATGGTGGAAACTTTCCCCCTCCTGACGACGACTCCCAGACAACAGAGTTTGGGAATGTTAAATGCAAATAATCAACATTAATATAACTCTCTAATTTTGTGCAGTTACTTTGCGATGTGGCTGGCCACTGTACCGGCAGATAAATGCACGCCACTCTTGGGGACTCATGAAGCCCCAGAATGCCCCTGTTTGACAGACTTCAGACAACACTGGCTGCTTATTCCACAGGTGCAGAGTGTGAATCTTCATGGGAATTTGGTGGCTTGCACAACGATTTGAAATAAGACCAGAACTTACCTTTTAGATGTATGAGCCCACTGCCAATGTTTTCTATAAGGTAGACTGCTTTCTTTTAAAATTTTTCTGTAAATAATACCACACTCTGCTTAGTTTAAAAAATGTTGCAACAGCTTCCCTATCAAAACAATGATAGTTTTGATGCTAAATAGAAGGGATGAGCAAAGAAAACTATACTCCTAAAACGAAAATAAAAGATATAAAAAGCTACTATTTGACAGCTCTTTAGAAAACCCAGTGATATATGGCTTTGACAAACATTTTATTTTTAAAAGCCATTTCTCTAAATGATTAGAGGTATTCTACAAAGTGCTATATATGCGTCCTTTGGTTTTCAATGACCACTGGGTAGGCATACATAAGTCCTATTTTGTGAATTCAATCCTAGGGCTCCCACGTTTCGTCCACACATTTCTTAGCTGCTCATTATTTGAACGATCATATTTTAGATAAATAAAACCTTGTCTTGGAGTTCGGGGTGGGGGGATGCATGGTTGGTTTCTATGGTTGTATTTTTTTTTTGTAGCGGGATAAGAGTGAATTTCTGTGTCGAGCCCAGGCCCATCCGTGCCATGTGCAGCACCTCCCTCAGTTTACCTCTCACAATCAGCTGGCTTTGGTGCTCCACAGCCGCTGCCTCGTTCCGCGCTATGCAGGTGTAATTCCCGTTGTGCACCAGGGAGAGGTTGGAGATCCTTAAGGAGCTTGTGAAGTCAATGTTGTCGATGGTCACCCCCAGGCTCCCGGGGATCGGCCGGCCATCCTTCTGCCAGGTGATGGTGATGGGCAGGTCCCCTGAGACCACAACACACGGGATGAAGACCCGCTGCCCAATAGAGAATCTTGGAAACTCAAAAGGTTGGATAAAAGGCGGAACTGAAAGAAAAGAAAAAAAAGTAATAGAGGAAAGATAACAAACCACGTGCATAGTCTACATTCCCTTTCCCTTGAGCCCTTTCACACGGCACTGAAAGAGTAACACCATCATCGATGTAGCATGTAAATACAGGGACTGTAGTGGATTTGAAATGAGGCTTCTGTTATTTGAATTTTCTCATCATTCTAAGTGAAAAGCATGGCTTGATTTGTACTTGAGCAAATACGCTTACCCTAATTTAGTTCAATAATTTTTTTTTTTAAATTCAATAATCATTCTTGAAAGAAAACATTTCAGACTCTGTGCCCTGCAGTGTAAATACTGTGAAAGAGGGATTTGGGTTTGGTTTTCCCTTCAAAGCTTTTCAAAATGATGTGTTCAAGAGCAGATTTCTTCCCTGATTTGCTATTACAGCACTACAATTACTGCTTCTCCTTCCAACTACTTCCTTCCTCCCCCATAGGCACACTCTAAACCTGTTGGAGAAGCAGACATTCCAATTTTTTGCTGTTAAAGTTCTTTATTATGTACAGCTAATAAAAACTGTTAATTATAAATACTTATTTCATGTTAGAATAATTGCATCTTTACTTCACATCCCTTAATCTTGCACATTCTGTGTGGCTTTTCTTTATGGACTGGTCCATGGAAGTTGTATGAGCTGCCGAGAGCTGCTGTTGCTAATGAAGACAAGCTTACACCCTTCATCCTGGCCAGCCGCACCCACAGCCGACTCAGGTCGGAAGGCTCTTTCTTGATTTAATTTCTCTGATAAACTCCTATTTGTCCTTCTTGCCTCAGGAGCACTCTTCTTTGGTGCCTTTCTAAATGATTCTATAGGGTCTTGGCATCCTAAAACGGTTAAAATGGAGCCAGGGGAGCTAACTTTGAATTCTACCTCAGTCAACTTATTAGTTATGGGTCACGGCTAAGTTATCAATATTAATATGCTGTTTCTATCAGCATGTGGGCAGTTATTTATAGCCTTGCTTTGCAGATGAGGAAAGTGATACTCAAAGATGTTACTTTGCTCTTGTCTTAGAACTAGTTAATTGTTCTATGAAGGCTTAGGTCAAGTCTACCTAGCTAATATCAGGGCCTGGATTGTTAGCTTTTGTTGTGTTTTGTGTATAGATTCTTTTAAAGAAGAAAGTTTATTTTTATGCAGGGGCTTGGAGATGACTAAGGGTACAAACTAAGATGCTTAAGCAGGTAATAACCTAATATTATATAAGCCAATTATTATACTAGGTGATTTTACAGAATGAAAGTTGTTAAATAGCAAGATGTCTTCAGAGTTTGTTTATTAATCAACTGTGGTTCATTTCAATTATCAACTCAGGAGAGATGTAAGGGATCCCACTGAGAAATCTGAATGGAAAACCATTTGTTCATTTATTCAATAATTCAAACAAGTAATGTTTATTGAGCACCTGGCATGTGCTTGGCAACACTGTATGTGCTGGACATGCATCAATGAACATAGTATACCAGTCTCTACCCACTGGAGCTTTCATGTATAGCCATAGGCAGCCGATTGCAACAAAGCACAGCCATGGCTATTCTCTTCTTTAATATTATTGCTATTACTGCTAACTGCCTTTAAAAGCAGCTGGGAGCTAGAACTCAGAACTGTAAATGCAACCAGAGTTAGAGAACTACTACACAGGTGGCTCAGGTTAGGTCTTGCCAGAGAAATTAAAAACAAACATATCAAAATGGCCGAAGGTACCAACAAGCACACTGAGGTCAGAATTGCTGTGGATTCTCAATGTAAAGTTAGACCTTTGGGTTCGAAGTGAGTTGATCTGATGCTAAGAGAAAAAGGTTTCAGGATGAAGTTCTACCTGGTGCCGGCAGAAAGAATTAGGTCAGATTAAGGTGTGATTGTTTACAGCTGGAACATGCTGGGGACAGTGCCAAGTTGAACCAAATGTGCTTATGCTTCTTTAAATCTTTCCCCAAGTTGTGTAAAAGTTTACTATGTATGTAAATATTTACAACTAATAAATTGCCATGTTTCATTATAAAAAATACTATATTTCCTCTTTTTTTTTGGTTTCTTGCACACAAAAATCTGGTTGTCAGCATACTCAGACCAACCTTGCCAATTCTCTTGGCTTGGTGCTTGTTATCTAAATTGCAGATCGTTTTTTTAAAAGAAAAGAGCTTTGGAGCCAGACTACTTGGGTTTAAGTCTGGCTATGCTATTTCCTCTAGTTACTTAACCCCTCTCTGGGCCTCAGTTTCCTTATTTATAAAAACAAAGAGTGCTGCCTTGAGTTCTGAATGAGTTAGCTCAGTGATTCATAAACTTCAGCATGCTTCTGAACCAGTTTCTTAGCATTAGTACGATTTCACAAGCCTTTAAGATGAGGGGGAAAAAAACAAAACAAAACAGGTGAATTGAAAGACACTGGGTTCATTTTCCCTACCATTTACAATAAGGAGAAGAAATATGTAAAGACTAAGACTTACTTTCCGTTCTCTAGATCAAGAAAGAAAGGTAAGACACAGTGTTTTTTGACCTAGTTATTGAATAAGAAAACAAACTAGGGTCTAGGCTGTCAAAAATTGTTACATATAAGAATGTCTGTTACAGCATAAGACAGTTACAGGATGGAGGAAGGGCGTTGCACACTGTTTTTCAACAACAGAGGCAAGAAGTAGCTACAGAAGAATCCGCATTTAAAAACAAAAATAAAAACCCAAACGCTATGTTTTCCATAGTTCTGAAACAGTTGTGACTCGTTGGTTTATAGTGTTCTAAGGAGTATCATCATAGCTACTTTGTCACAGAGCAGCACTGCTGAAAATCCGGAAGGGTGCCTCCAAAGCATTGAAACCAAGGTCAGCAGTAACACACTAGACCTCATGCACATCGCTCAGAGGGAAATTCCTGGCTTTGAATGTCTTATTCTAAATCATCACAATACTCTCAGTTTCCTTGTTGATTGATCTAAACCAGACCCAGAGAGCTCAGGCACACTGACGAGAGCTTAGTGAGAAGCCGCGATTGGCAAACTAAAGACAGGCAAGAAACTAAACTGTAAAGAACAGACACGGAAATGCAGCACACACAGCAGCTGGGGCACACTCTGGGCTGGAGGACACTGCCCTCAATAGTCCGCTTTGTTCTAATCAGTACAAAATCACAGTACTTAATTAAAACAGTGAGTCATACGTTACGGTTAACATATTAAACGGGAAAAAAAAAGACATATGTAAAAGCTTCTGCATAGGCAAGGAAACCATCACAAGAGCAAACAGACAACCTACGGAATGGGAGAAAATATTTGCATGCTGCATATCTGATAAAGGGCTGATAACTAGAATCTATATAGAACTCAGGAAAATCAGCAAGGAAAATTCAAACTACCCTATCAAAAAGTGGGCAAAGGACATGAACAGAAACTTTTCAAAAGAAGATAGACTAATGGCTAACAAACATATGAAAAAATGCTCAACATCTCTAATCATCAGGGAAATGCAAATCAAAACTACAATGAGATATCACTTATCTCCAATGAGAATGACCTTCATCAAAAAGTCTCAAAACAATAAATGTTGGTGCAGATGCAGAGAGACAGGAACACTCCTACACTGCTGGTGGGACTGCAAACTAGTACAACCTCTGTGGAAAGCAATATGGAGACGCCTCAAAGAGCTACAAGTGGAACTACCATTTGATCCAGCAATCCCATTACTGGGCATCTACCCAAAAGAACAAAAGACATTCTATAAAAAAGACATCTGCACTCGAATGTTTATAGCAGCACAATTCACAATTGCAAAGATGTGGAAACAACCCAAGTGCCCATCAATACATGATTGGATTAATAAAATGTGGTGTATGTATACCATGGAGTTCTACTCAGCCACAAAAAAAAACCATGGTGATCTAGCACCTCTTATGTTATCCTGAATAGAGCTGGAACCCATTCTACCAAGTATCCCAAGAATGGAAAAACAAGCACCACATGTACTCACCATCAAATTGGTATTAACTGATCAACACTTAGGTGCACATATAGTAGTAACATTCATCGGGTGTCAGGCAGATGGGAAGAGGGGGGAGGAGATGGGTATATAAACACCTAATGGGTGTGGTGCACACAGTCTGGGGGATGAACATGCCTGAAGTTCTGACTGGGGTGGAGCAAGGGCAGCATATGTAACCTAAACATTTGTACTCTTGTAATATGTTGAAATAAAATAATAAAATAAAATAGTTTAAAACATATTTACAAAAATAAATCTAGCCAGAATAGTTAAAATAAAAATTTACAAAAGATTTAGTGAGAGGGAAAATCCTTTTCCCAGAGTACCATCAAAATGAGGTCTGTTCTGTGTGGTTTTACTTGCCACATTACACAAGATGTGTGTCGTCATTAGCATAAATTAAGTCACCAGACCTATTTGTCAATCACATCACTTTTCACGACCTAGGTTGTCTCTCTTGCAGCAGCTATGAGTCGCAAGTCTGCTGCATAAAAACGCTTAACATTTTTGAAGGGTCCAAAATGTTATATTTTACACTCCTAAGACATAAAATTGGGGGGAGGAGTAAATCAAGTGATGAAGAAACTCTTCTCATGATTTTGGGAAAGCTGAACGGCCTGTGTGGGACACGCTGATTACTTTACCTGGGTCATTACATCACCCAAACACGGTAAATTCCCTAAATCTTGCTGACAGTGAAAGAGTCTACATTACAGGAGCATAAATTCTGAATATGACATACCTTTTCGACAATAAGAATGTAAATATCTGCTAAGTGTCACTTGTTACCAGGTTTGTGTGTTTCTCTCTATATTATGGTGGGGGCCCTTCTCTAAGGCAGCTCAGAGCCATTGAATACCACCAAATGTCCATTTAGACTCTTATTCTGTCTAAATCCTTAATGAGAACATAAAATCAGGCTAATGTACTTCTGTGTCTTGTCCCTCAAAAATTAATTGTGCATTTCTTCATCGGGGGAAAAAATTTTTAAATTTTTCCCCTGAAGAAGAGGAGTATGACATATTGATAAAATCAAGGTCAATCTTGGGAAATGAGCAGGGTGATCTTGATCTGGTTTCTTTAACTCTGATTCTATTTCTTTATGTGTAAAATGGTGACAGTGAAACATAGCTCATGAAAGCGTTGGCAGAGAGCTTTCCGTAACATGCCCAGCGCAGAGCCCTGGGCAGTAAATAGAGGGTACTCAACCCACATCCTTCCATCTTCCCTCTGACCACGGCCCAGAATTCACAGGAAAAGCAAATATATCCCATGCATGTTGAGATGTTCCAAGGCCCTATTTTCATTGCCACACATGATTTCATTAATTCCACATTTGTCATCTCATTTCCAGTTCTGGTTTAACCTAATGAGTCTCCATACAATTCTTAGGACCAATGCTTAGTCTCTCGCTGATCAAAGAGCCTCACCTTGAGCCAAAGTCTACTAAGATCCAGCAATGGGCATTTCCATCTTCCCAGCCCCTTTTCTCACCTACCTCCTTTGCTCTAATCCAGTTAACAAGATCTTTCTTCCCATCCTTTAAGAGGTCTTACCTACTTCATGAAGTCTCCAAATCTTGCATCTACTAATCCTGCTCATTATAGGAAAGCAAGTCCCATGACCGATCTCTGAGCGTTTAGTCCCAATTGCACTCCCATCTTAAGTGTCATATCCACATGGGACATGCCTGTGACCTGCATAACCACAGAGCTACAAACTGTCCCTTTAAATGAAACCTGCAACTCCAAAAGGATGAGGCTGATGAGTATGTGAGATTTGTGAGTCCAATTCTCATCATCTTGTCACTTCCTGGTCTTCTAACTCATAAGACTGGTTATTTGTCCAGTTCCACTACGTTATAACACGCTTTCTCAAATTGTAGATTACTGATGCAGTGTGACAGAGTGTTCCACTCTGCACATACAACACAACCAAACTTCTCCACCACTCACTCCTCTTGTTCAAAACTCTACCAGAATATATGACGTTTATTACTCACATGAGTATAGTGACTTATATACAAGTCCACTTCCTTGAGTAGAGTGACCCAGGAGGGTAGGAGCTATATCAAGTTTATCATTTTATTTCTCATGAGTAGTGGAATAAATAGTGCCTTGTACATCTTAATTGCATGATTTGCTTTTTTTTTTGAAAATATCTAGAGTGTCAACATATGGTGAACTTTAGATGACCCTGAAGTCATTAAGAATGACTTAATAGGGACAGGAAGGCAGACACTTGCAGATATAATGATGCCAACACAGCAGGGACAAGAGAGGTCCCTATTCACAGCCTGGTTAGCCCAGGGCCTCAGGACTTCTACATTGTGGTTCCACAGAACCAACCTTCCCCTGCGTTGCAAGTTGGGTGACAAGACTCAACGCCTGGCCTCGTTTATTCAGGCATGGCATTTGTGCCAACTCTGAATTGCTGTGCGGGTTTGTTTCCCTGAGATTGGTGACTTCCAGACAGCAGCAGCCAGAGCTGCTTCTGCTCACCATGAACTCGGCTGCCAGTCCTGGGGCCCGCACCTGCTCCAGGAGGAAGGGCAGGAGGCCAGGATCCAGGCGGCGTGATGAGGGAGGAAGCAGGACATTGCTGCAGCCAGCAGGTGCTGCAAGAAATCAGAGGCTTTCGTGTGTTTGCATGACCACGGCCTCCACAGAGAGATAACAATTTTTCGTAAAAGAATAATTGGAAAAATAAGCTAAATTTTAAATGCATGTCAGTGATTTTTGTGAATCTTGTTATCCCTGTCATTTAGCATAGCTATCAATACCTCTGATTGAAGTCACCTGCTTCTGTTTCTATCAAAAGTCCATATAAACAAAACAAAAATAGCAACCCATCTGGATGAGACTTAATCTCCACAACATGAGCTATGTCTCCTTTTCTTGGTGCCTTGATGATTCACATAGATTTTTCTTTTACTATTGAGTACAGCTTGGGTGAATCAGGAAAGTCACTCAGTTTTATTACAAAGCCTTCTGTATAAACACACCATCACCCTCAACCAAGGGAAACGTACCTGTCATCCTCCTCAGACCATGGTGACTCTGTTAAATACAGAAATTGCCATGAATTGTGAAGTTGTCCATCATTTTTAAATAGCAAAGAAACTATTTCAGTGTAACGCGATCATGGTTCAAAATATTTCCTTAATAAAACTTAAAAGAAAGATCTTGTGTGGCCAAAGACTTGAATCACCCCAAGAAACCATGCAATTTCTTCCATTCTATCTGCCTTCGGGTATCTGGATGACAATAGTTAGGCATTAGTTTTTCTTGAAAGTGCCTTGGCAGAGATACAGTCATGTTTCTCAGAGCTTGTTCTACTGTTTTATATACCTGATTCCAAGAGTCATCTTTTTTCTTTGTCATGTCTAACTTGCATCTTTTCTACTGAAGAAACAATTTTTCCTGTTTTTCTTCATTGTATTTCACATTATGCCTTGAAAGATAATTTTTCTTAAAACATTTTAATTGATTTTTTTCTCCCATTAACTTACTTGGCAATTTTACATAATTTTGGAAAAAAAGGTTATTTTTTCTTATTTCCTTATGTTGTATTATTTGTGGCTCTATAGCTCCTCTTACAATCTGGCTGTCCAAAATAAGCATCCTACGTAAGAACTTCCTTGTTTAAATCATCATAGAAGGGTTAGCTACTCTTATCCCTGATTTATTCAAATATTAGCTATAAAGACAACATTTTGCTTTGAACACTGCTGAACTTGGGGTAACTGAATGAGTAAAAACAACCACAGAATTTTTTTTTTAGTTAATGAGCAGCATCTTAAAATCAGACTGTCAAACTTTTTTTTCCCTTGCTTCTATCTTTCCTTTTCTGTTTTGCAGGAAAATAGCAAGATACTGTTCATCACATATAGACGGTTTATTGAAAGGGAACTCGCACACACGATAATTATCCTCTAGTCACAATATAATGAACTAAAGTGACATGGATGGATGGAGGGAGTCCACATGTCACAGACAGACCTGGTTTTGCTATTAACGGTGCATGCAAGTTTCTTTAGATGAAGCACACTGTTGCAGGCAGGTTCTTGAGGAAGCAGAGTGTGAGATGGAGTCAGTGTGCAGGATGTTTATCCAGGAGTGCTTTACGATCAACACCTGAGGGAGGGAAGGAAAAGAAAGATTGGACAAAGAAGGTACAGGCCGGTGACAGTCTCACCTGACTCCTCAAGGAGCTGTGGAGCAGGAACAGCCCTTCCAAGTTGTCCTGACGTTGGGCACAGTGGCC